AGGTTTGGAAGTTTCCTACCAAACATTGATCATAGTGGAAACAAATGAATGAATAAAAGACTTAATGTTAATCTCTCACCAGCCCTAAAATACAAAGAGCCACCACACCAGCAGGGTCTTAATCAATGCACAGTTGGAGGTAATATAAATGGGGTCCCTCTTTTTTGTCATCGGGAATCTTTATCATGTCTAATTTAAAATGCTTATGGAAGATAATACCCAAATTGCTATTTCCATTACAGCCAAGGCCAAATCAATTAGGTATACTGGAGTTAATGTCTATTCTGATTGCTTCAATCATATAACACCCTGAACCGATATTTGGATTGAAAGATTTCCAAAAAAAAAAAAAAAAAAAAATTGAAGATGGTTCCAAAAAAAAAAAAAAAAAAAAATTCAAAACTAATCCATTAACTAACCCATGTCCATCATTTGGTTCGGCGTAACAAAAGAGTTACTAAAATTATTTTTCATGTAAGGAACATAAGAGGATAAAATTCATAGATTTGAGAAGTTCAAATCAACTCTTGTTTCTTTGGTTTCTTTGGGATACATCAGGGTCTAATGGATCTGAGATAAACAGTGAGAACATAAAACTCCCTATCAAAACTCACCAAATTTAGTAAAAAAGTTCTAACAATGTGAGCTGACTCATAAAACCAGATTCTCGCTTCCCACATTGATGATTAGAGCTTTACTTTAACCGGTTGAAGATAGTACCAATCCTTAACTGATCTTAAAAGACAAGCATGTGAAGTGAAAACAAGACCAAGCTTGAAAAATAAATAATTCGAATCTATAATTGAATTCGAATAAAAAAGCGTTAAGGTCATTGATGCATTGCATATTTCCGTGCTATAATCACAAACAAATGAAATAACAAAAAGTCCCTTAATGGTCCAGGAGCTCTAAGACAACTTCCCACAAACCCAACAAGAAAGGCCCATTTTTTGTAGTTGCTTACTCGGCTCATCAAGCCCTACGTTAGTCGCGATCCTCTCTACTTTACTCTGAGCTATACACACTTAAGCGCTTATCCTGTTGTCCTGGCACCTGACCACGTTCTGCCAATTCAGGTGTGTGTCTTAGCCGCATTCCAATGCAAAGAATGAGAGTGGATAAGCGCTAAATATTGATAAGATAATGCATAATCCCCTACATAAAAAAAAAAAAAAAAAAAAATCAACTAATCCATTAACTAACCCATGTCCATCATTTGGTTGGTAACAAAAAGAGTATAAAATTATTTTTCATGTAAGAACATAAGAGGATAAAATTCATAGATTTGAGAATCTCAATCATTTGTTTTTTTGGTTTCTTGGATACATCAGGGTCTAATGGACTGAGATAACAGTGAGAACATAAACTCCCATCAACTCACCAAATTAGTAAAAAATCTAACAATTGAGGACTCAAACCCAAGATTTCTCGCTTCCCACATTGATGATTAGAGCTTTAACTTTAACCGGTGAAGATAGTACCATCTTAACTGATTCTAAAAGACAAGCATGTGAAGTGAACAAGACAAGCTTGAAAAATAATAATTCGAATCTTATAAATTGAATTCGAATCAAAAGCGTAGGTCATGATGCATGCATATTTCGTGGCTATAAATCACAAACAAATGAAATAAAAATGTCCCTTAATGGTCCAGGAGCTCAAGACAACTTCCCACAACCAACCAAGAAAAGGCCATTTTTTGTAGTTGTCTTGTGTGCACAGTTGCAATTCAGGTGTGTGTTAGCGCATCAATGCAAAGAATGAGAGTGGATAAGCGGCTAATATTGATAAGGATAATGCATAATCCTACCATCTTCTCGAAAAATGTACAAAATAACTATATGAACCACAGAGTCCTAATATTATGTTCAAGAACGCAAAATCTAAAACTAGAAAAAAATATAATTTTAGCATACAACAGCTCAACTCCACCCCATTCTACCTCTTAATAAGGATATACAGAATTAGGCTGTATAACATATCAATCATGGAAGCAAGAGATCATTTAAAAGATATTTACACTACCGACACACCATGAGAAAAAAATGGCAGAAAATCTCCAGCACTACATGTATCAATGCTGATCATCTTAATCTATATATTGGATATTTAATCGAAAGAAAACCATCATTAACAACACATTGACATTTCTTTGATTATTGTAAGAACTGACAACGTCAAGTGTAAAGTAGGACTAATAAAACTTATCCCAGTTACCAACATGTATCAGACAATTCACCTAATGATAATCTACCAGTTGCATATAGAAACAGCATGAAATCCACCACGCAAATGTCACAACTAAAGGCTTAACTTTATCCATGGCCACTAAAACAATCTCTTCAGGGTAACTAGACTCAATTTGCATTAACAGAATCACTCATCTTTTGATTTGTTTCAATAAAGTTGATACAACCAAATTTTTAAGAGATTTAACTCGATCTCTTCCATTGTAGATAAGGGAATCATTTAGTCTATGTTTCATTGCAGAACAATAACAATTATATTACTAAATTTTTAATTGTTTGTCATGTCAAAATCCAGGTAAAATTGTATCAAAATCTAGCAATAGCGATCTTGCTGAAACACAATCAAAGTTGAGCATAACAAATTAAATGAATGGCCTGACATATCCTTCACATGATTGTTGCCTGTGTACAGATGCATAAGAAGCAAAGACAAAAGAAGTGTTGTTTCCCTTTTTCCCACAAACAGAAAATGCAGTGCATTTTGAAAGGAAGATCAGCTCCTCTTGATGGAAAAAAAGATGCCTCAAGACGATCCTTGAACATCCTACTTATGTCAAGTTCCAAAAAAAGAATTCGATATTTAAATAGTTGGTTGATTCAAACTTAAGATCTCTAATGCCAAGAAATTACAAAATAGCATACACATGAGAGGAGGATTAAACCAGCTAAACCTGTGGGCTCACTTTGGGCGAGTAAAATAAATTGTCTGCAAAGAAAATTATTTCCATACTCACAGATGACCGAGGCCTGGAATCATCCACCTGAACACGCATCACATATCCAAAAGATTCAGCAGATTCCAGGAAAATCCTTTTAAAATCAGGATATTTTGATGTGTAAAAACAGATGGAAAAAAATAATGATTCCAGGCTTGACCAATCAGGAGATTTTGACGTGTAAAAACAGATGGAAAAATAATGATTCCAGGCTTGACCCAATGTAGCAAACCCACGGGTAAATTATATTAATGGTAACCTAATTTTACACTTAGTTTTATTTAGGTCACATAACTTCAATTTGTTATTTTTTAGTTTCTCAACTTTAATTTTTATTTCAAAGGGAGGTCACTTACCGAAATCTGATAATCAGAACGGTAATATGATACCAAATATTACATTTATCACAAAAATAAAATCATCATTACAAAGGAATATAAAAAAAAAAGGAAAAAAAATGCGAAAAAATATAAATGATAGTAAAAAAAAATTCTCTTTTATTATTTTTTTAAAACTTGTTTCATGTAAATGACATTATTTGTTAAATAAATTATTAGGTAGATTCCAAATTAATGTATGAGGAGAAAATATGAATTTTTTAAATAAAATATTTTATTTTTATTACAATGTTAGCATTTCCAATGATAGTATTCTAGTGAGTGACCTCCCATTGAAACAAATGTCAAAGCTAATGACTAAAAAATGACAAAATAAAGTTATGTAACCTTATGAAATTAAGTGTGAGGTTAAATGACCATTAGTATAGTTTACCCAGCAAACCACTGTATGTCATATTTATCCAAACTTTGTATCTGAATATATTCTCACGCGTGAAATACCTATTCTTGATGGGAAAGTGATAAGACCAAATCCTAGAGCATTAAACTTAATACTTCTAGTGTCACAATCAATCACAAAGTAAAAACTTACAAACAACATAACATCAACGTAAAAGAATGGCAACTACAATTAATAACATACCCTTTCACTGGAATCACCACTATTAATTTGCTAGAATGAAAAATCTACTTTCTACCAATACTTAAAACTGAATGTTACAACTTCAGATCATGATTTTCCAACGGGCATTACATAAACACAAATCTGAAATAAAACATTGAGTTTTCAATAATTATTAACATAAAAAGAGATACTAATCACTCAAACAAATGGGGGGAAAAAAGCTCTCATATTACAGCATATATTAATAACAGTCTTCTCAAAAAAAATATATATATATACTTACATACATCGATACATATATATAACACCATTAATTCCCCAATTTGCTGAAGTGTGGTTCTAGGAAGGCAACTTAGGAGATGACCCTATCCTACATTGAAATGTGTATATATACAATTTATGATAGCATCCAAAATTTTTTTACCTATTATTTCAGATCCACATCCGCAGACCTTGCCCTCCCTTCTCGTAGAAAAGGTAGCACAAAATGACAGGCAAGAATGAAATTTATAGGGAACAGAACAGTGATAACACATATAGGCTAAATTAGTTTAAACCTGAAATGAAATGCTGATCAAATTAAAACATTGAAAGTTGGAATTCAGAAGAACTAAAAACTCTGCACTCACATGCATATGGGACAAATTATGAAACATTTGTCTCAAAACACTTAAGTTATGCATTTTCTTCAGATCATGTCATTGTCAAGTAGGTTGACTTTCAAATACAGGATTTGATATGCCTTTTCAAAAGATCAAACATTCAGCACCTCCACACAAAAATTCATAGTCACAAAACTAGAATACATCTTACAGGAACTTAATTAACACTTGTAAAAAAACTAAGATTCACAATCTTATTTGAATCTCCAACTAGTAATATATGAAACACAGAATCTAAATTATAGAACATTCAGATTGCCTGAAAGAATACTATGCTAACCAAAATCATTGAATACTATGCTTTCAAGGAATCCATAAATATTATGTAAACTCAAAACAACTTGAATTCTATTTTTCTATGGAATGTCACAACTATCAAATCATATGTTATCCGAGCAAGAAAAGCCAAGTTATCAATTGCACTTTACATATATTCTAACCAAATTTGTTTTATACAGTAACCAATGCATTTCCATTCGCTTCTATACTATAAAAATGACCATAGAATGCAAATTGCAAACCAATTGCACAAAAGAATTGAAATCTTATTTTCTCTTTATTCCTCACTAAAATCTAATAATGCAGATATAAGAAAACAATTATTCACAAGTAAACCTGACATTTCTTCGATTGACCAACTGATGTGCCTGTCCCATTAATCCCCAAATCTCCAATTTGAATCGGATTGCAGTAAACCCGCAGCACATTCTCGCTCATTCTCCAAATACCGGTCCTATACCGGACCCAAGCAAAAACCCTAACTCCAAAATCAATCGATCCACTGTCCCTTTCCTTTGAAATCTCCTCCACCGCATCCTCACCCACATACTTGGTAATCGCGTCAAGTTGGAATTTGACAGTTGATTCATTGTTCCTGTCTTGAAAAAATGGCGGCAAATTATTCGTGGCGAGTTCTAACTCGTCACCGTAGAAAACCGAAGCCTTGAGGCGGTCGTACTGGATTCTAAGTTTGTCATTGGGGTTTTTTACTAAGAGGGTAAAGAGCCAAGTGGCAGTTAACTCGGACTGAGTTAAGTTGAGCTGTGAAATTGCGGCAGAGTCAACTCGGAACTCAGGTAGGTGGGGTTTTAGGGCGATATAAGAAGTTAAGACGAAAAGGACCATAACTAAAAATGCAGTCATGCAAAAAAAGAATGCACGGTGGAGAAGAGTACGTCTAATGGGGTGGTCATCGGAGATATGTCGAAAAGGGCGATAGGTGGCAGCGGAGAACGATGATCGCGGAGGATATGCATATGTATATGCATTGTCAGTAGTGGCAGCTTCGGCGGCAGCAATAGCTGTTGCTGGGTAGCCAGTGGCAACTTGGTTGGGCGGAACCGGATAGCCGGTTACCGTCTTGTTGTGTTGAGCTTCGCTGGATGAAGCCATTGAAAGCAGAAAGAATGTGACTGCGCAAGTGACAGTGAGAGAGTGCTGAGCAGTTATGGATTTGACCCGACCGCTCCAAACCTGACCAGCAGAACGAAAATGGGCTTTTAAAAGGCCCATTTGATTTAATAGGACAAGCAGTCCAGTTGAGGTGTTTAATAACGGCCCACATTGTTCAATTAAATTCAACCTTTGTAATTTCCCTTCTTGTTTATCTCGCTGGTTTCAATTCCTCGGCTCCGTGCTTAGCTCTTAGAGCCGTCTATTCTCTCCCAAATCGTACCAGAAAAAAAAAAAATGACCAACGAGGATCTTATTTGGGATGATTAACAATCTCATAACAATTTCAACTTTTATATGAGTAAAAATATAAATTTAATTTATTATTAAAAAAACAAAAAAGTGTATGCAATTTGATGTTGCAAGTGTTTTAGATTGTAATTTATTACAATCCATACGTTGAGCTGCATCTTTGACAGGAAAAAATGAAAATTTAAACTGATGTCTTTAAAAAAATAATTAATCCTTAATTTCTACCATAATAATGACTTTCTTATAAATATTCATTATTTTTTCATTTGGTAATTAACGGTAAATCATGGGGAGAATAGATGATGAAACTCTTACCCTTTGTTTGAATGGAAGTATTTTATTTTTCTAAAGAAGGCAAATGATTATAGAAATTATTTAGAAAAAAAGTATTTTTCTTTATTTTGAAAAGAGAAAAAAATATTAAAAGAAGTCATATTTTATTTATTTTCTATTTGAGTCCATGTACTTTGAATTTCTCAAATTTGGAAAACAAATAAGGGAGGAAAGTCTGTCAATTTTGAATAATAACATTTTCTTTCCATTAAAATTTTACTGTTTACAAACAAATGAAAATAAATTTATTTTCTTTCCTTCAATATCTAAACACAAATATTGAAAATAAATAAGACAAGAAAATTGACAATTTTTCATTATTTTCCTGCATTTAACTGGTTTTACATATGAAATTCACAATCTCGTGGTGAAAAGTCCGAGACAATTATCTTTTTTATTTTTTTCTAAATGTATATCATCTAAATATTGAAATCTATTAAACTAATAATTAAACTAATTAATCAAAAATACAGTTGGAGAATATTGCTAATTAAAAAGGACAAACAAAAAACGAAAAAAAAAAACTCTCTCTAATAGATATTAATGAGAGGAATTCCAAAGAAATAATTCATATGTATACAAATATATGATTAATTAAACCTAAGCAAAAATTAAACAGTCATTAGCATTGGAAGTATTTAACTTTCCATTACTTTTACTGCTACCAAAAACAACCTCCAAATCTTCACAATAAACTCTTATAGTTGCATGCTTTGCCCACCATGTACCTGATTTAAACGTGGACCAAATCGCCATTCTCAATCCAAAATGAAGTTTTCCGGTTGTACTCTTATCATTCGCCATTTTCTCCACCACCCAGCTTCCAACTCCGGCCTGCGTGTGATCGGAGTTATTTGCAGCTAATTTAGTCTTTATTACATTATTTTGGTGCGTTTCCAACAGAAAAGGATGCGCGAAAGATGATGCAAGAAGATCGCTTTCATCAAAGTACAGAAAAACTTGTATTTGATCAAAATATATTTTCAGTTTTGTATTAGGGTTTTCAACTGCAATCTTAGCATCCCAATCAGCAGTAAAGAAAGATGATGATCCATTGAAGTTAGACACAGAAAGTGTATCGACATGCATAACAGGAATGGCTGGACGTAATATTAGCCACATAAGAATGCTAGCTATACACATAAATATAATCAACAGAACTAAACCTCCAATAACCCCTCGAATAAAAGAGGAGACAGGGCTTTCTTGTTGTACGTTATACAAATGAGGATTATAATAGCTAGCAGGCGGTGCTTGTGTATAAGGGTAATTGTTGTTGTATCCATTGCTATAGTTAGGATACCCTTGTTGACCTGGAGAAGGAGAAGGATAACCAGGCGGTGCCGGCCCCGGTGGATAACCCATTGGGTAACCCATCATTGGAGGATAACCTGTTGGATGAGGACCACCGCCTGGTAAAGAGTCATTGGTAACGGAGGATTGGCAGGAGTCCTTTTTCTGATCAGATGGTGAAGAAGCCATGTTGGTTTCTGGATAATGATCTCTCTCTCAATAACATAAAGAGAGAGAGAGAGAGAGAGAGAGAGAGAAAGAGAGAGAGAGAGAGAGAGAGATTTTTTTTCTCAAGAAAGGGAGAAATAGAGAGAAAAAATGGGGTGGGAAAAAATTAAGATGGGGTAGGTATTGAGAGAGATATTAGAGAAATGTAGATTTGTGAGAGACTATATTTAGGGGAAATGGAATAGTTTGTGTTGTTTGGTGGATTATATTATGCTTATATAGATCAATTACCAATAATAAGTTAATAAAATTATTTTCTCAAACAAAGTCAAACTTACATATACTATATATGCATTATGCATATGAAGCTTATAGAATTTTTGAGGGATTTGTATGAATAATATTGGCTATTAATTCTTTCCAAAAAAATATGTTAACATCAACGATTACTGTAGTAATCGATCTCGATTTTCATAAGATGAGAATAAGTACTAATTTCAGAAAATACACTTACTAAAAAGAGTTAAATACTTTTATGCTATACTAGCGAAAAAAATTAACACATCTTACTTCTAATAAAAAAAATTATATGGAATGATCCTTCAAATCCCAAATCCAAGGTACAAGTGCGTTTGTATCGATTATTATTATTATTATTTTTTTCATTTCATTTCTTTCATTTCTTTTAATCTTTACCTTGTATAGTAGCTTAGTAATTAACTTAATAATTATAGATTCTTCTTTATTGGGTCTAAGGTATTCAATAGGTTGGATAATCATTTAAAATGTATTATTTCGATCTAAATTAAATTATAAATTAAATATCCAAAATCTGTAAATGTCTCATTTGAAAATTCACTTTTATTACTTGAATCCATCTTGAACCGATTACATTTACTCATGTAATACCTAATAGCATTTAAGAATGTGTATTGCACGTGTCACCTTTTGTTATAGATAATCTTTATTTAATTTATAGTTTTTTATTATTTATTAAGAATGATATTGATTGTTATTTTAATTCTCAATCAAAAAAATAATTGAAGACAATAATTAATAAAATATAAGTAAAATCTAAATTGATAATTAGATGAAATATTTACTACAATTTGAATTTTCCTCCATATTCATATATATTCTTTTCTACAAAATTTGGATATAAAAATTCATAATCCAAAAATCACAAAAAAGATTCATAACAATTAATAAAAAATTTAAGTTCACTATAGAATAAGAAAATATTTACTCAACTCTAAAAATAATAACAATGAGTGTTTTTAGAAAATAATTATTTTCTAATATTATAATATTTTATGCACAACACAAAATAAAAGTTAGGAAATTTGAAAGTTCAATTACAATTGATAATGAAATGTTGATAAGATATAAAAAATAGCTATATATCAAATTAGAATTAATAAAAATAAAAATTAATATATCAATTTATTGATCATAATAATAATAAGTCGAGCCATGAATGTCCAATGTATACTTGATAATGAAAGTAAATAAAACTTACATAGATAAAATAAATCAGTGGTAATATATAATATATAATTTCTAAATATGATAAAACTTGCATAAGAATACAATGCCTAATTAAGATATGACAAAAGTTCTAATAATTTGCTTTTGGTAATTTTTTATTTTATTTTTTAATCAATAGAATTTCAATTTGTGTAAAGAACTAATATAACTAATTATATTAAATTACCTTTTTTTTACAAATAAAACTAATATTTCTAGTTATTTATCAGAACATTTATTGCTTTATTTATTTAATTTAGTTCCTAAGTAAGATACTATAAATGTGACTGAAAGTTAATGATGGTGGTACATTTTTCCTACATAATTTTATTTACTTTAATTTAAATTTATAGGAAAATAAATATTACTTTAATTTATAATTATATTTTTGGTAACATAATTTGAATTAAAGAAGGAAATATCATAAACAATCAAATCAATTACTTTTTAGCTAATAAAATTAAAATCTTTAAAGATATGTTTATTAATTCATAAATTTAATATGGTGTATTTTTGGCAATCTCATTATTTATCCTAAGTATCTAATTTTCTTGAATGACATTGGAAGGTCATTGAATTCATTGATTTGTTATAAATTATATTACTAAAAAAAATCTAAGAATATTCAAAAAATGAAAATAAACAATAATTATTTTATCCTTGTATTTTTTTTAAAACAAATAACTTTGCCTGTGCATTTTTAGAAATATGTAATGTAGTCTCTATCTTTTATCTCTGTTATACTACTGTATCATGTCATCAATTTTTTGTACATTTTCATTAAATATAATGATAAATTAGTTAATATTACTAAATACAACAATAAAATAGTCAATAATTATAATTACATATTCATTAATTTTGGCAAAATACAAGAATAAAATCATAATTTTTGATGAAAACATACAAAAAATTAACAGAATGATATAACAGAGTGGCGGAGACAAATATATATATTTAAAATGCAGACACAATGTTATATTCATGCAAAATAATTAATGTAATTATATTAATAATTAATATATTAATCATTATTTTAAAGCATGACTTATAATTTTGATTTTTTTTTTACTTTTTATTAAAGTTTATCGGTATATAATTAATTTTATGATTGCTTTTTTAAGAAAAGAAATTCTTTTCAACAAGTCATTATATAATTTACTGATATAAAAATTGAGTTTTTTTTTTTTTTTTTTTTTTTTTTTTTTTTTTTTTTTTTTTTTTTTTTTTTTTTTTTTTTTTTTTTTTTTTTTTTTTTTTTTTTTTTTTTTTTTTGAATTTGAAGAATGGAAGATTTGGATAACTAAAGGCTTTCAAAAACCTTAAAAGATGGTCATTACAAATAGGAGAGAATTTTAAGAAATTCAACCGTGATCAAAACACAGAATGGGATGCCTTAGCTAAAACTATGGGCAACCCCATTCGCAGATCGACAAATTTTTTTTTTTTTTTTTTTTTTTTTTTTTTTTTTTTTTTTTTTTTTTTTGAATTTGAAGAATGGTAAGATTGGATAACTAAAGGCTTTCAAACCTTAAAAGATGGTCAATACAAATAGGAGATGAATTAAGAAATTCAACCTGATCAAACACAGAATGGGATGCCTTAGCTAAACTATGGGCAACCCCATTCGCAGATCGACAAATAAACAAAACAACAATTCCAGAAATCTCTGTCAAAAGAGATTTACAATCAATAATACCTCAGTCCTGCAACATATGTAGCGCCCGTTGAACCACCTGAGATGACGAACAGGATTTAGCTTGCCAAACAACCTCATTACGAAACTACCAGACCGACCAACAGAACATTATCACAATAGCAACGTCATACATAGATGCAGACAACAGAACACTGGAAAGCCACTCAAAGAAATAAGAAGCCATAGGGACAACCTAGTGAACCTGCGTTAGGGCCCAGCAAGATTTGACAAAAGGTCAAAGCACAAAAATATAAAACACAAACTCAGAATCTGCATGACACAGAGTTGCTGCATTAGATCAAGACTGGGAAGAGCTCCATTACAAGTTTGCCAAACTAAGTTCATAACCTTTTGTGGTGCTTTAACATACCAAAACTTCCTCCAAGCCGCCAAAGAACAGGAAGACCGGGAAAGCCATGGAAAATCAGTCGAAGCACGATATGCGCTGCGGACAGAGTACTTACTCTTGTTATCAAATTTCCAAATCAACATATCCTCCTTACAAGATAAACTCAACAGAATAGCAGAAATAGCCATCGTATCCTCTTCGTTAGAAGTCTGGCAAATGAGTTGCTCATCCCATTGACCATTACTTATAAGATCAGAAACCAGGAACACTGTAGACAACGAAGATCGAGGAGAAGAGACCATAGAATTAATAGAAGAAGGCAGCCACGGATCATCCCATACCATAATATTCGAACCCGGACCCACTTTCCAGCATAAACCGCGGCGAAAAAATGCTTAGTTTCCCATAAACTCTGCCAAATGAAGCTCAGATTAGACCCCAGCTCGGAATCCAAAAAAGACCTATCCGGAAAATACCTGGCTTTAAGAAGCCAAGAAACTAAAGATCCAGGAGAAGACAGAAGAGATCAAGCTTGCTTACCCAACATAGCCAAATTAAATTCATGTAAACGTTTAAAACCAAGACCACCGAAACACCTCAGCCTGCACATTCTATCCCAGCTCATCTAGTGAATACCCTTCTCATGATTCAATCCCTTACACCACCAATAAGCATTAAAAAGACGCTGCAACTCGCCACAAAGGGACTTTGGAAGTAAGAACAAATTCATGACATAATTCGACATGGCCTGCAAAACTGTCTTTAGCATCACTTCCTTGCCAGCCCTCAAAAGACAACGCCTCTTCCATGAATGCAACTTCTGCCACACTCAATCCTTAGTAAACTGAAACACCTCAACCTTATTACGACCAATAACAGACGGCAAACCAAGATAGGTACCTAAACTACCATGCTCCACCACCTCCAAAACAGAACAAACTTGGCGATGAATATCCTGCAAAACATTCCCACTGAAACCAATAGAAGATTTCGAGAAATTAATTACTTGCCCAGAGGCCTGGACATAAAGCGTAATAATACTTTTCACAGTAACAACTTCCACCTCTTTAGCATGAAACACAAGCAAACTATCATCTGCAAAAAATAGATGCGAGATAACCGGTGCACCTCTAAAAATACGACACCCATGCAAAACACCCCTCGAAACATGATACGATATCAGACAGGAAAAACCTTCAGTACACAAGATGAAAAGATAAGGAGAGATCGAATCGCCCTGCCACAATCCATGAGAAGGGAAAATAGGGCCAATCTCCATACCATCATGAATAACCCGATACTATACCGTAGAGATGCATTCCATAATTAATTGAATCCATTATGCTGCAAAACCCATCTTAGAAAGAATAGCCGACATAAAACTCCACTCCGACATAAAATTCCATAATTAACTGATATCCATTTTTAGAGCAACATAACCATCACGTCCACTCCTTTTCTATTTAAAATAGTGCATTAATTCATAAGCTATAATGCTACTATCATTGATGCTACGACTAGGAACAAAAGCATTCTGAGATGGGGAAATAATAATGGATAAAATCTAATTTTGCCAATTAGCAATCATTTTCAACATAATCTTGTAGAACACATTACACAATGGAATATGCCGCAAATCTGACATACTCTCCGGATCAGATTTCTTAGGAATAAGAACCAAAGCTGTCTCATTCAGCCTAGAAGAAACACACCTGACTGCAAAAGAGTAATACATGTCGCTATAATATCCGACCCAATAATATCCCAATGATGCTGATTAAAACTTGGATTGAAGCCGTCAAAACCTGGAGACTTATCCGGTTTCAAACCAAAAACTGCACACTTTACGTCCTCAGGAGAATATGGAGCTAGCAATAAGTCATTAAGAGCAAGGGACACACACTCCGGAACATGATCCAAAACCGAATTCATATCACTAGGATTAGTGTGGAAAATATTCAAAAAATAATCTGAAATGACTTCCTCCATACCTGCCCCCTGTCACGCACACCCCAGAAGCATCCTTCAAACGTCAAAAAGTTCTTTTTTTTTTATGTCGAGCCTTAGCTATAGCATGAAAAAATATAGGCATTAGAATCCCCTTCTTTCAACCAAAAAGCCTTAGCACGTTGCTTCCATTGGACTTCCCGCTCATTAGGTAATTTTTGAAATTTTTTTTTAGCCGCCATAAATTGCTCAACCTCCTCTCGCACCCTCGACCCAGGACACCTATGCAACAGAATGGCATTGCTGTAACTCCACCTTGTGCAAGTTTCACAAATCCACACCCCACCCAAAAAAAGCTTCACCACAACGATGTAATTTACCAAAAACATCAGCATCAGAGGAAAGAAGCCGAGAATCTGAAACAATCTGTCGATATTGAGGTTCCCATACCCGAATTTTCAAAATGGAATTTCCTTGCTACAACCCGAGGAACCAGGTGATGCACCTCCATAAACACCAGAAGATGGTCAGAAGAGGAAAAGTCCATAGTATAAGCTTGGGCTCATGGAAATAAGCCTCTCCAGGAAGGAGAAGTAAGCACCCGATCCAACTTCACTTCAACCCACCTATCCGAACCCCTCCCTGTTTCCCAAGTGAACTTGTAACCCCCCATTGGAAAATCACATAACCCCGCTTCCTCCATAGCCTGACGAAAGCATTGAATCTGAGAAGTAGGCTGTCAGCGACCTCCTCGCTTCTCGTGAGCTGCCATAATAGTGTTAAAATAACCAAAGCAAAGCCAAAGCAGCAAACTACAGTCAGCTAAATTACGAAGAAGATTTCATCATTCAAAATGACAGGATCTATCAGGGTGACCATAGAAGCCAGAGATCTGCCATTTACCAACATCATCGACTTCAACCTCAACATCAATGCAACGAGAAGAAATATTAAGGAGGTGAATAGAAGAAATAGATTTCCGAAGAAAAGCCGAACCACAACTATATCCCACACAAACAATAGAAAAGAAACCATCATAGCCCAATGAAGACTTTATTTCATTAATTTTATTTTCCAAACAAAATGTTTCAATAAGAAAAATAAAATTGGGCTGCTTCTCCTAACAATTTCTTGAAGGGCCTAAACCCACGGCGGGTTGCCCAGCCCACGATAGTTCCAGCTAAGAGAACTCATGTTGCTAGGAAGGCCTGAACACCAGAACCCGCCTCAACTGGACCACCAAGGCCCACTTCAGAATTATTCTCCTGGCTTGGATGCTTTCGCTTGGACTCAGAGAAAACCAACCCACCAGAAGAATAGGAGCCTAGTAAATAGCCAACAGCAACATTGTCCCCAAAATCGTGCCACGAATCCCGCCATGCAGATTATGCTGAACCGAATCTAAATCATGACTTGGAAAATATCCTACCCCAAGATTTTTAGGATCATTTAGAAAACGGACATCAAACGTCCCACCAAATCCTGCCGCTGATGGACGGAGCAACCGTGCTCCAGTAGTACTTTGTGAACGCCGATTAGGATCTTGAAGATCGGCGGAGAACGTACAGACAACACGATCAGGACCCAACTCAACCAGTTTGACAGAACTGCTTAGCATGCCCCAATAAGCCACAAATTAAACAAAAACTCGACAACCATTCATACTTAAAGGACGCCCAGAACCAATCCCCACCAGCTTTTTTCAAGCGAATCCCTTTCCGTAGAGCCTTACGCACATCAAAGTGAACCCAAACTCGTAAACAGGACTGCCAAATCCCACAAAAGTTATTAGGATCAGCAAAAACAAACTGGCCAATACTATCTCCAATGTTCGTAACAATGCGTTCAGATTTAAAGCCCGCCTGCAGATAATGTATCTAGACCCATAACAACGTAAAAAACAAAGGGACCTCAGTGGGATGATTAAACATGCCAAACGCTCCAACAATAAGAGATGATTATCAAACTTCCATGAGGACATCTCCAACACCCTATTCATATCGACCTCATGGAAAAACTGAAATATATAAAGCTCACCGTGCAACTCCTTCGCTTGCATCCCTAAGGTTGGATGCCAAAGCGAGGCCATGGTCTGGATCATCGCATTGTAGTTAATGACTCTTTCAGTAAGAAAACGCCCTACAAGGCAGAGCGAGTAGTCCTCCTCCCTGGACAAGTCTTCCTCCGCACACGCTAGACCCCCGTCCCCATCCCCTTCAACAAAGAGGCTTGTCATCTCCACATAAATGTTATACTTCTCCATGACAAAACACCAAAAAAAAAAAAATTAAGTTTTACCAATTCAATTTTATGAAATTGAATATAACTAAATCAAATTTTATGTAAAAATTTTAAATGAATTCTAAACAAAAAGATCTAAATTTGACTTGAAAATAATTTAATTTGTAAGTTGCATTGCAAGTTTAAAAATTAACAACTGAATTTATGACAAATGTATCTTTCTAGAATTACATGTTGATCTGTCTTTTTAAACACTTTTTTTTTTTAATTTTCATAGACTAATTCAGTTTACTATTTTCTTCTGTTTTGAATTTGTTAAAATTTCTAAATTTGAGTTTTTTGGATACATACTTTAATTTGCTGTTGATATTCGAATAAGCCTAGTTGTTTAAATACATAATCATATTTTATATTTTAAATTCTAATTCAGTAAGCTTGAATTATTCTTTGATACAATCAATTCCCTCGGTAACATTCTTCATTCAAGATTTGAAAGTGACTTGTTTAAACTAGCAAACGGCAAATACTGGCAAGTCCTGCTGACTAAATTACTTGTTGAATCACAACGACATAACCGCCATAGCAAACTAGCAAATGGCAATTAAATTACTTGTTCAACCACAATGACATAACCGCCATAGCAAACTGGCAAATGGAAAATAATGGCAAGTTCTACCCGACTAAATTACTTGTTCAACCGCAACGACATAACCACCATAGCAGCTTAACTGAATGCAATCTCAACCGTAATAAAATTGCCACTGAGGTTTGGATCATTATACGGGAACCAAGGGGAGTTGAACGTTTCGTTATAATGGGATCAAGAAAATAATAAATACTCCTTTCGTTTCTTTTTGTTTGAATAATTTGACAAAACACGCATATTAAGAATTTTGTCCTTCTTTACCCTTAATAACTCATTAAAATACTAAAAGTTTTTCGTTCAACGAACAATTATAAAAGTTATTATAGAAAAAATAATTTACATGTCTAAATTTAGAAACCTTGAAAACATTTTGGAATATCCAAAATAGAAATAACAAGCAAACAAAATGAGACAGAGACTAATTAATATTATTGAATTTTTTCATTGATTATGCCACCGTCTTTGCAGTAGAACAAAAGGTTAAGGAAGTGAGTGATAAAAACCCTGTTGGCTTTTGAATTAGAAAGCAAGTTTCTTTAAGCGGTTTTGACTTATAAGTGAATAATTTTGGGAAAATGATGTTGAGTTGTTCCCTCTCTTGCGTTTTCAGTGAACAACAGCTCGTATCTTCTACAATCAATAATGATATAATCAAACTAGAGCCATTTACATAACAGACCTCTGAGCTCATTTTTGCCAGTCGTTTCTTGTCGTTTGGTCAATTCTAACGACCTCTTGTAGAAGACGTTAGGTGGTTAGTCTTTCGTAGCTAAGGTTTTGTAAATTTCAGGCCTCACTAAATCCAGGCAAACTTGATTCAAGTTAAAAAGAGACATGCTTTGAGATTTTTGACAGTTTTTCTCATGAGCATACCCAAGAATAGCAAATGAAATCTATAAGCAAACTGGGATTTTCAAGAAGATGGAACCGCAAGGATTATTACAAATGAAAAGGGCACCTATTGTTTAGCCATGAATTTTACAATGAACTGCATTTGTTAATAATGCCCAAGTATCTAATTGCAATATTGGAAAAAAGAATATATATATATATATCTATATATATATATAGAGAGAGAGAGAGAGAGATCTTTTGTACATGTTTACCGCTTTTGTTCATTCCACGTCTTACCCTCAAAGAACTCATTTAGCATGTGATCAAGATCCTCAGGAGTGTACCTGATGTACTTTTGTGGGTTTTTCCCACCATCAATCATTGGCCTGTAACACATAAGCAGTATGTCACTCAACTGCTTTTGATGAACTGTTCTTTGTATTATGTGAAGCTTCTCAAATCATAGTTTGTAAGAAGTTAAAGACTTTTTAGCTTTTCTCAAACTATGGTTTACTAGAAGCTGTTGAAAACAGAAGAAATTTGGAAAAAAAAAAAAATTCAAAGGCAGTTTTGGAAAACAGCTTCAAGGAGATGAGTAATAGCTATCAAGGATAGGAAGACATTACCCAAAGCGTTTCAAGAAAGATCTGTATGCAGGCAAGAGGACTTCCGCAACAGCCAGTCTCAGAGATTCGCGCAATTCACTGTCAGGAACTGTCCACTGAGATTGTCTTTGATGAAGCTCTTCAAATTGTATGTTGAAGGTCTTGAACCTATCTTTCACCATTGCTCTTGAAAGTCCACCACTATCGGTTGCCATTCCAGATCCACCGCTTGAACCAAGGCCTTGAACTGTGAGGCATTGCAGAATCTGCACATAAAAGGTACAAATTAATTAACAGATAAGACCATATAGACAAAGTATAGAGTTTTTAACATCAGTTATTAGTTAAAAATTGAAAAAAAAAAAAAAAGTTTTGACTAGCTGCTAGCACATGCAACATGATAACACGAAGCAAGAAGTATCCACCTGGGCACCATTGAGGACACTATGAGCTTTTAGATAATAAGATGTTTCTCATGAAAAATGATTATGCAAACAGAGAGTCACAAGGTGCACAACAATCAAATGGACATGACAGCATCGGTTTAGAGATGCCCTGGCACATCTATTAAAATTTGTGCAAATAATTATGCATAGCATATTACTTGTTGGAGTCTAGGATGCCAATTTTATATCAAACATTTAGATCCCTAGAGCCAAAGATAGTGAACTTTTGTAGTGTATAAACTATAAGATCTTGAAAATAAGGCCCAATATGAATTCTTGTGACCAGTATACAAAGAGTCATGGCAAGCAACTAGCTGTTTGTAATTTCTATTGCGAGAGGACAAGTACAAAATTTGCCCATCATGTGGATTGTTATGAAAAAATTCTCCATCTTAACTAATTGAAAATCAGTTATAGTGTTCTATATTTAAGCAAAGCATATAGAATTACAAAAATGATCCTGCTTCCTCAACAATAGGCAAAGACCTAGAAGAGAAAATATTCACATCTTGGAAACAGCTCCAAACAACATCATTGTCAAGAAAAATTAAAGAGTGGAAAACCAATATAGTTAGAAGTAAAATAGAAAACCTTAGCCCAAGAAACCCTCTTGTACTGATTAGCATGCTGCTGTACGATCCTCCTATGTATTTGCACCCAGTCATCTCCCAACAAATCCTTCGCTTCTGACCTGTAAATAAGATTTTAAAACTGCAAATTAGCATGAAAAGATTTTCACTATCTCTTGAATAAAACACTCTGAATTTGAAACAACCTCCGCACAGATCTCACTATATAGTGAATGTTGTTCATCAGAAATAGTTGAGTTAGTGCAGGATCTCTGTACTGTTTGGATTTCCCATCCAAGTTATTCTGAAGAGCCTGCATAATCCTTGTAGTTACTGTTGCCAACTGAGCTTCTGGATCACTTGCATCAAACTCTTGAAAGAGTTGCTTCAATGTTGATTGGTAACTGTGTAAATTGAAAGACAAATGATGAGATGCAAATTGCAAAATATTTTGAAAGAAAATCAGGTACCACAACCAACTGCAAGGAGAAGCCAGTTTACAACATTCAAGAAAGGGGCTACAAGAGAATGAATAGTATTGGAAATTGCTAGTGCGTGCTTCAGAAAATAAAGTAGGAGAGCTTTAAGAACAGAATTCAAAGGTAAGGAAATGCTACTTAAAATTCAGTTCAACAACGAAAGTATCTTATCCCAAATACTGGTAATATCAAACAATTCAAAGAAAGGGAATGCTTGGACTAACTCGGGCAACTCAAAAATTATGAAAATAAAGTTATTAAACTCTATATGATAAATTAAAGATTCTTGAAAAAAAAAAAATGAAGAAAAAAGAAATCACAACTTACTCGAATAGAAACTTCACGTAGTTTATCACATAGCTAGTCAGAGGATGTACAGTTCCATCAAGAACAGCAGTTTTGGTAGCATCTTTTTCGACCGCTTCTTCAAAATCACCAAAGGTTTCCTGAGCTGTCTGAGCTAGCCGCTTTGTCAAACTCAATGCAGTTTCCCGCATTTCAATGCAAGCTTTACTACCAAATAGTGATTCAATCTGCACATAGGAAGAAACAAAAGAATAATAATGAATAAAAGAAGAAATAGAACAAAAAAAAAAAAGAAAAAGAGAAATACACGCGCATATACACAAGTTATATATTATGGATGTTATGGTTTTATTAGAAAAGCAAAGCAAACACCATTGCCAGGGGAAAATGGTCAGAATGCAAACACAACGCTCAATTGAATATATCAGGTCCATTTATGAACTTGATCAAAGAAGAAACAGACGCGACCATTTTAAATTCTAATGACGGCAGCCCAGCGATTTGGTCAGTTAAACAAAATATGTGTATCAGTTTTGTTCTCATGTTTGCAACCCCTTTATAATTTATAAAGGCTGGAGTGGATCCTAAAGAAATCCCACTTCCTGGAAATTCTTGCTCCTATCAGACCATTTGTAACAATATCCACCAATCCACACGTGATGCATGAACAATGACAGTTGTGTACCATAGTCAGTAGCTAGGTCACGGTGAGACAAGCTGTTTATCATTACAATAGGTTTCAAATGGAAGTGCAGTGATTTATGCAGCTGAGGCATCCTGAGATTCCATTATGATCCAATTCTGACTAGTAATAGATACCAGGAAAGAGCATAACATCAATGGTTCAGCATATTTGGATTCCTATCGAGATCTGGTGATAGAATGCAGGGTCTTCCAAAAGTGGAACAAGTGTTAGAAGTGGTTATATTTTCATGTTTACAACCCCTTTTCCAAGCTACTTGGAATGCTTGTACCAGGAGCTCCATGCCAAAATTACAAATGTTTCAGAACTCTTAAGTTAAAACAGAAATAACGACTTAAATAATAATGTGTGTCATATAATTTTGTAACCAAAAACAAAAAAGAAAATTCTGTATAATTTGTAAAATTATACCTCTTTTTGAAGTTCCCTCATAATCTCATACATATCTAACAAAACAAATAATTTCTCAGGAGATCTCTTGCTTTTGGCTATGGCCTCTCCAAAACTAAGCAGCACAGCTACACTATTTACAGTGACTTCAGCAAATACTTGATCCCTAAGAGAATCAACACCAGCAAGTACTTGATCACAAATTTTCTTTTCCCCAGCAAATAGCAGTTTGACCTGTTTGAAACATTTCAATACAGTAGAGAAATCAAAAGAACAAAAAGTAATTCTCATAAACACTGAGAAAAACAATCGGCTAGACTGCATTTTCATTTAAAATCCTTACAGCAATCCGCATGTAATGTATCCAATTCCCAATCTTGGCCTCCAGAACCTCCCATTGCATTTTCTGGACATCATCTTTGCTGAGTCTCTCAACACCTAATTTCCTAAGGCTCTGCTCCAAAACTGAGGCACGGATGTCCCTAACATTTGTAATCAGCATATATTGCCATCAATAATTCCCAACTATAATGAAAATAAATAATACTCAACATGAACACCAAAATTTTAGTTATAACGTATTAATGCATTAAAAGGTAATCCTTCCATAAAAAGACTAGCAGTGTTAAGTTCTTCTATATGGCACTCTTCAGAATATATATATACTAAGGGCTCTGCTCCCAAAACTGAGGCCACGGATTGGTCCCTAACATTTGTAAATCAGGCATATATTGCCAATCCAATAAATTTTCCCCAAACTATAATTTGAAAATAAATAATTACTCAAACATGAACCACCAAAATTTTTAGTTATTAACGTATTATGCATTAAAAGGTAATCCCTTCCATAAAAAAGACTAGCAGTGTTAAGTTCTTCTATATGGCACTCTTCAGAGATATATATATATATATATATATATATTATATATTAATATATATATATTATCATTTTTTTGGTGCTAAATTTTGCATTCAAACTATTTCCATTTTTAAATGAAGGATGAGGGCAAGTTGGCAGATTTCCTGGCGGTTAAAATGGCAGTATACCAACTCTACTATTTTCGTTGATCAAAGGACTCAAATATATTATCATTTTGGTGCTAAATTTTGCATCAAACTATTTCCATTAAATGAAGGATGAGGCAAGTGCAGATTTTCCTGGGTTAAATGCATATACAACTCTACTATTCGTGATCAAAGACTCAAAACTCAAGACCGTATAAAATTCACTATTCCTATCCACACAGAATAAGTTGGAAAAAATACCACAACACAACCAACAATAAATTTTCTTAAAGTTATTTTTGTTTTACCCTGGATCAAGTTGTCCTCAGACAAATTACTATATGTGCATCGCAAACTTTTATGTATTGCATTAACTGAGTCAGAGAGTCGTAATGAAACTTAATTAAAAAAGCAAACACGCATGCGCACACACACACACACACACACACAAACACACATATACATAGAAGATGACAAAAAATGGCATGACTTTACAGTGAGGAGGAAAAAGAATCACCTGTAGATTCTAAAAAGTTGTTGCTGATGGCCAGCCTGAACCATTTGTTGAGCTAGATCATGTAATAGTGGCAGAACCCTTGGAGGAATAAGAGTTGGAACTGTGTAAATGGGAGCTTCTGAGCTCTTGTTGTTCTCAGTACTCTTTGCATTAGCTGCTCCTTGGTGCCTAGGCGATCCTGAAGATGGTCGTAGAGAGTTGGGAAGGCAATCAAACAGATGATCAGGTTCCACGGGCTTGCTGTAATATCACAAGAAGCATAATTTACTTCAGGGACTAAACTAGTCAAATTATTATCAAACATGATAATGCACATCCATAGTCCCTCTAAACTTAAAAAAAAATCCATATGCATATGGATTAAAATCAAAGAAAATTACTGCTCTTACTGTCCTTTGTCCCATGGTTAAGAAAAGGCCAATTTCTTGATAAACTCAAAATTTTCCAAAAGTTAAATCAATATATATTTGAGAGAAATTGCTAATTATATTTTTGGGAAACAATATTCAGCACAATTAACAGAACTTTAGATATCCAAAATAAACAACCTGTAATTATTTAGTAGTTGTCTAAACTCTTCTTCTAGCTTTGAGATAGCCTTAGCAAGTAATTGATTGGCATGGTTAACCACCCCATCACTACTCTTAAAATTCTTATTGCTGCTAAAAAACTTGACATTGCTTTTCAGCTGTTCAATTGCCTCTAAATACATTTCTAAGTCTTCATGTGGCCCTCTCAGAATTTTAGCCTCTGCCTACATAATCAAATTTCCAAATTGAAAAGAAAAAAAAAAAGTTAGAAATTATCCAAACAACCACATTGCATTTCTTAATTTTAAGGGGAAACGAATTAACTGATTGAGCTATTAAATATTCAAAATGGCTAACAGAGATTAAACATACTGTTTCCAAAAAAGATTCAGAACAAACAAGACTGGGGTAAAATGGTCTCAGATTCTCCCAATGGTATATCACTTCGCATTTCTAATTCAGCTTTACAATTTATTATTAATTTATAATTAATGCAAAACGTAATATCCAAATGAGAAATAAAAGATTGGTTCGAGATCCAAATTCAATACAATTACGCACAAAAAGAAAGAGAACGAACCTTCCGTGTAACGTCGAATTGAGTCAAGATAACCTCAGCGGCTTTCAATGATTTATCGATATTCTCATGCGCTCTTCTAATAGAATGCGTTCTTATCTACAGATACCAAAAAAGAAAAAGCGCCATTGTATTAGATCTCATTATGCATAGTAACATAAGTATATAATGTACCTGAGTAGGACGCATGGCGGTTTCGAGGGCGGAGAGGCGGTGGTCAAAGGAGCCGAGAATGGCGACCATACTATCAGTGATGGTTTGGCTTTTTTGCAACGCTTCTTTCATGAACGTTGCTCGCTCCCGAAGCAATTCCATCGTGTGAGGAACTCCCATTTTTGTTTTTCAGTTTCCTTTGCCGTTCTCTTTCTTTTCGTTTGTGTCCTTTGTTCTTTTTGAATTTGATGGATCGATATTACGGATTACAGAAATGTAAGGAATTTGTTTCCTCCGGTTTTTTGGTTTTCATTTCCGTCCTGAAAGGAAATGCAGTGCTGCAGGTGGGGACAAAATATGAAGTAGTTACGAAGAGACATATCGATTGACACAAAATATCATTAGTAAATATTAAATGTTCTTCAATTTTTTAATAATTAATAACATTATTCATATTATTTCAAATAATAAAAATTTTAATCCTAAGGTATAACATGGTTGACATGAATATCTTACTCCTTAACTAAGGATTTGAGCTCGAATCCTCGACATAAAATATCTTTAAATACTAAAAAATGAGCATGTTATCCTTTTGTGGAATTACTTACGCGAATTCATATTAACTGAACATTGGACTTTGTATTTTAAATGATTTAATACCAAAAAAAATTAAATTTTCTACTTTCTTCTTTTTTAGTAATTACTTACAATAATAATATAATTTAATGATATTATCATTAATAAAAAAATTTTAAATCATTTTTCTTATACGTGGTTCTTAATAGAAAAAATATTCATAAAATGAATAGGAATAGATAAAAAACTATTGAAAATTTTAAACCTAAAATTTTGATGTGGTTATTAATTTTTAAAAAGACAAATTTTAAAAAATTTGAATTTTTAATTATTAGAAAAAAAATAAATCAAACAGTTTGTTCATTAATAAAATAAATTATTATGGGATTATTAATTATTGAATTCTGTCAATACATACGAGTAGATAAAATTTATATCTCAAAACTTTGGAATGTAATAAAAAGAATAAAAATAATAAATTCATATAATACTGTTTTTGAATTCCTTTAAAATAATATTATTTTTATTCTATAATACTAATCACATTTAAAAAAAATAATTCATTTTATAATATTTGTCGTATACGTGAATTCAAGGACTGATTTAAATTTAATATTTTAAAGATTTTGAACAGTAGGTTTTCAATCAATCGGCCATGTTTAGTTCCGAAGGAATGTGGATTTTTCAGGGTCCATTTCCGTTAGGTTGGTGGGCCCGATTCTTTGCGGACCCTTCACCAACATTACATTTTTCTCTTTTCTTCCCTTAATTAAAATATATCATATTTGTTTTTTGATATTTACTGGTCATGTGCCTGGACTTGCGCAGAATGTATAAATTTATTAGTATGTATGATCCATCCTATTTGTACCATTTTGAATTTTACATTATTTAAAAAAATTATTAAATTTGTTTAAATTATAATAAATTATTAATTAAATTGACTATATTACTCTTAATTTAATACTAATTTTCAAAAAAATTATTAAACTGAAGTAATAATTATTGGTTATATACAAAGGCAATCGTCAAAAAAAATATTTATTATTCCTTGAATCCACATATATGACAAATATTATGAAACAAATTATTTTTTCAAATGTGATAAGTATTATAAAATAAAAATAATATTATTTTAAACGAATCCAAAACAGTATTATATGAATTTATTATTTTTATTACATTCCAAATTTTTGAGATATAAATTTTATTTACTTGTGTGTATTGACAGAATTCAATAATTAATAATCCCATAATAATTTATTTTATTAATGAAAAAACTCTTTGATTTATCTTTTTTCTAATAATTAACAATTCAAAATTTTTAAAATTTGTGTTTTTAAAATTTAATAACCACATCTAAATTTTAGGTTTAAAATTTTCAAAAGTTTTTTATCTATTCCTATTCATGTTCTGAATCTTTTTTCTATTAAGAACCACGTATAAGAAAAATGATTTAAAATTTTTTTATTAATGATAATATCATTAAATTATATTATTACTGTAATTAATTACTAAAAAAGAAGAAAGTAGAAATTTTTTTTTTTTTTGGTATTAAATCATTTAATATATAAAGTCCAACCGTTCAACTAATATGAATTCGCGTAAATAATTCCACAAAAGGGTAAAATGCTTATTTTTTAGTATTTAAAGACATTTTATGTCGAGGATTCGAGCTCAAATCCTTAGTTAAGGAATAAGATATTCATGTCAACCCATATTATACCTTGGGATTAAAATTTTTTTATTTGAAATAATATTAATAATATTATTAATTATTAAAAAAATTGAAAGAACATTCAATATTTACTAATGATATTTTGAGTAAATCGAATGTCTCTTGTCTAAGCATGACTGGTTCATTAAATCGTCGGTTTTGATTCATGGAACCAATGGTTTAAAATTTTTAAAATGTTGAATCTGAACTAGCTTTTAACCGTCGGTTCCAGTTTCGATCGGTTTCGATTACGGTTTTTGGTGATATATTTTTATAAAAAAAAAATCGATTATAAGGTTATATCTTTCTTCGTAAATATTAATATGAGCATAAAAATTATTGGTAAATTTTATTTTAAATAAATTTTAAAATACTCATACTCATATAAGAATAAAATTAATTAATTTTACAAAATTTAACAAAAATATCAAATAAATTATCACTTTATTTTTTTTCCAATGTTATTTAATTAAATAAATTATAATTTGAAAAATGTTTCAAAAGAATGTAATTTTAAACTTAGTAAATAATTTAAAAGGGTAAAAAAAAGTTAAAAACAATATAAGTTTAGATTAAATATTTCTCTCGTTTTTTGACCATTTTACTTTAGATTTTTAACTTTTAAAGTAAAGTGTATTTAAAAAAAATAAAAATCTTAAGTAAAGTATAACATGTAGTAAAATAATGTTGAGACTTTTAGAGATGTATAAAATAGGCTAAGTGATTATCATTTTGAAAATAAAAATATAAAATTTCCAGTTCCAACCGGACTGGACCCGCCGGTGCCGAGCCGATTTAGATTCATATTTTAACATTCATATGAATCTTAACCGGTTTTTGTACCACTGGTTTTGGTTTAAAATTTTGAACCGCTAAATTTTGATTCAGTTTCGATTAGAATGAATCGGTGGCCATGCCTAATAAGGGTAAATCCTAAGCCGGCTCATGACGCACACAGGGCTTTGAACTAACTAAAACCCATGTGCAAGGGGCTATTAACACCAGCCCAAATATCAAGCTCAAACTGAAGGCGCGAATTGGCAAAGTTTTTGAAAAAGTTCATTGTATCTGCTAAGAGGGTCATTTATGCCTAAAATCCATAAAAAGTAAATGTTCAACATTTTTTAATTTTTATATAAATTTTTTAGAATATTTCTTGTTTGGCGTACACTTCTATAATTTTTATAAATAAGGAGTGACTCCACTGTAAAAAACACGTAAATTTTTTATCAACAAATTAAATTGTTTAACCGCATTCAAATCACTTGTATCCCCTTTTTTTTTCTAATTTCTTATATTTCTCTCTTCCCTTTCATAATTATTTTTTCACTCGTGAACTTTTCTTATTTTCATTCTCTTCTTTTCGAGCCAAACAAGCCCCGATGCATTTGTCCACTATCTGTACGTACTCCTAATAGATGTAGACCCAACAGACCCCATAACAATTTTAGACTAATCAACATTGTAAGTATTATATATCAAATAATATAATTAAAAAAGAGGACAAAATTATAATGGAGAATGATATTTTATCAACGGAGAAATCATTATTTACTAATCATTATTTACTGTTAGTTTTTTAATCCTTACACTACAAAATTTTGTTTATTATCGACGGAAAAATCCATTGGAAAAATATAAAAATCCGTCGCTAATTTTCAAATCCCGTCAATAATGAATTAACGCTTATTTATACCGAATAAATTTTTAAATTTTTTCAAGTTTCGTTGGTATCTATTGTTAATTGATTGGTAAATTAGAGACGGAATATGTTTCTTTGATAATTTATCGTTAATTGATTAGTAATCCGTTGATAAATTATTAAATTAGACGTGATTTTATGGCCTTTTTTTTTTACCTGCTAAATTTAAAATTCCTCGGTAAATTTCATTGTTAATCTATTGCTAATCCATTAGTAAAAATAAAAATTTAGCATGAACATTTGACGCTATGAATTACTTGCATAATTCAAATTCATCAATAATATGTCACTAATTACCAATGAAAAAGTTTCATCATAAAAATCCGTCGGTAAATGTCAAATTTCTAGTAGTGCTAATAATCCATTGGATTAAATTATAAACCACAACTTGTTAACGGCTAATTAAATACAAAATAACATAGTTCAAATAGTCTATATTTTAGTAGAATAGATTATTCGAGATATATTTAACAAAATAATAAGGTCGCAACGTAATTCACTAAAAAACATAACTAAAAATAATCAATGAATTTGTCAACTCCACCTCAGAAACAAACAAATTTAAAAAAAAAAAAAAAAGAGAAAAGAATTAAACTTATTAATAGTATAAAAGAAATTATTTGAAGAAAGAGAAGCACCGTAATATTAATTATTCATTAGTTACAAGCAGTAAGTGGGGTGGACTATATATCAATCAATGGATGCAATAAATCCAAGAACCATTAACAACCAACATATATGAAAATTGACATTGATGGATTCCATGTTGATGCTTTTCATCTTCTCAATAGTCATATCTGAATTAATTGTAGCTATGTAAAGGCTCCGTAAATAGATAGAGGAAGAAAGAGAGTAAGAGTCACACCACTTCTGCTAGTGTAGATTTTGATCACCGACTGTTTGCTCCTAAAAGAGTTAATTTGCTTAAAGGTGAATATGCACAATAAAGTAATGAAGTTATGGTTGATTAATTAGAGGGAAGAGATTAATGTTTATTCGTCTTTCTATAGTTATAACTAGCAATATCCCCGTGCAGTGTTTAAAATGTTTCAAATAGTGTTGGAAATTATTACCACACATGCATTGTGAATATGAAAAGTTAAATCTCTTGTAGTATGTATATTGAGTTCTTATATAGACTAAGTGTTTAATAAACACATTACGAGTGACATGTCATGTCTTACAGTGAGTCAAAGCAATCCTAAGAAAGAAAATACAAGCTAACTATGGGCAGTGGAATACGAGACATATGAATGAATCGAAACATATATCAAAAAAGGAGAAACTAATCATCAGAGGCACCTTTTAATGGAATGGCTTGAAGTGGTGGAATGGCCTGGAGAATTGGAAGAACTCCAG